ATTCACCAATGAGGAAACTGAGACACAAAAGTTAAGTGAATTGCCCAAGAGCACACACTAAGTAGGGGAAGGTCTTGATTAGTTCACAGAATTTTTGCTGACTTACCTTATACATTTTTTGTTCACTTATATACAGAGAACTCTTTACTAAGCTCTATAAAATACCTAGTAGGAAAGCATATATATAATTTCAGTCTTCAAGGGTTTAAAATCTGTAAGAATTAAGAATTTTTAATCTAGTAAGTGAGTACAATGACGGACATGCCTCTCACTTACTTTTAAAAATTGGGAAACATAAATTAGTATACTTGTCACTGAAGAAGCCCAATAATAACCTGTGAAATAGTTTTAAAATTAAAAACTGTGTATATTTAAGGTGGACAACATGTTTTGATATACATATACAGAGTGAGATGATGACTGCATTCAATCTAATTAACATCTCCATCTATGTGATTCATCTGTATCATCCAACTGGGTGGTCCATCCATCACATAGTTACTGTGTGTGGGGGGGGTATCTGTATAGTAAGAGCACCTAAGATCTATGCTTTTACCAAATTTCCAGTATACAATATAGTATTATTAACTATAGCCACTATGCTGTACACTGGACCTCTAGAACTTATACATCCTACATAGCTGCAACTTTGTACTTTTTGACTAATATCTCCCCATTTCCCCAATCTCTCCACCCGTGGTAAGCACCACTCTACTTGTGTGAATTTCACTTTATAGATTCCACATATATATGCACATATAGACCTATCTATATTCATATTCATGTAAAAACATACAGATATTGTCTATAACATGTATACAGATATACATATACATACACATATAGAATACACATGGATTTCAATGACCTTAAATAAGGGTTGGGGTAGAAGAATAGCATATACATGTGTTTAAGTTTTTACTCTGTTTTGCTTGTTGATAAGAATCTGTTTATTAAGTGTGCATTTTATTAATTTCCATTATTCTTATAAACAAGCTCACACTTCCACTTTATAAAAATATAAAACCATAATTTCAGTTATTTTCACCCAAAGAACTTTAAGATTGTCTTTGATGATGCTAAAAACAACTGACTGATAAAAAATTCAGTTATGAATGGTTTTTAGCATCATGGCATATAAGAAAAATCAGTTTGTTTGATTATATTCAAAGTAGCCATACTAGGCTGCTGCATTTGACCAAGTCATTAGTTTAACTCATAAATAATTTTAGAGAGTCTATAACTCCAATTTTTAAAAAATTCACAAAGCCCTTTCTAGCTTTCCCAGCATTTATCAGTGATTAAGGAATTATAAGTGAGCATTAATCAGCAGAGTTTCATAACAGAATTGAGATTTAATTCCTTTTCTTTACCCAATTTCTAATTTTCCAATAGTTTTTTTTTTTTGTTTTGTTTTTTTTTAATAGCCTGAATCTTTCAAGTCTTGGACCTGAGTGGATGTTGTACAGTGACTCAGAATAGGATTGAGAGCATCACTCATCTAGTTGATCATTCATGGTTCAGAAGTTAGGACTCACATTTTGTGGAACTGAACCGGACTTCCCTCTCTCCATCCGAGAGAGAACTAAGTACTACTACTGTACGTGAGACTACCTAGTGAAGTTTCTTTCACAGTGTATGTCATCCTCTCTATCCACTGTGCAACTAAAGCGAAGTCCCTACAAATGCTCCAAAACCCACCATCAGGGAAAAAAAAAAAGACAGTGTCATTAAGTAATGTGACCAAATAAATAAACTGGTGGGGATTTCCCCAATATTTTTTTATTTTAAAAAATCTCCAGGTGTTACGAGTGGACTGCAAAAGTTTAGACCAAACAGTTAACGTGCATGCTGGTTGGTGGTTGATCTTGTCAAGCCTGTGACTATTTTGTAAAACATAAACAAGCTGGTGAAATTAACTTCAGTTATCTTAAGATAGCCAGAACTACAAAATCTTTCACTGTAAACTCTGTTAGGAATTTCTGGACAAATTTAACAGCAAAGGGAGATAAGTATTTTCCTCTTGAACCTAAACAAGCAAATCTGTTTTTATATTTTCTTATGGCTTTTTGAAACAAAATATTCATACTATTTCAGAAATTAAAAGAATTACAGTTTAATCCATTGGATTGTTTTAGCCCCTGCAGGGCCAAAAGGAACTAAATTTAGAGAGAGTCTTAGCAGTTAGTTTAACTTGAGAGCATTTTAGAGAAAATTTATTTGAAAGGAAGCAGCTTTGAGTAACTGTGTTTTGGTGCTAGATTTACTCCAAGTGGGTTCTCTCATAGAAGAGAAATCATGATTCAATTAAGTAGAAAATCTAGAAAATTAAAACATAAAGAAATTGCAAATTAAACTGATTTCTGTAACATAAATGATAAGCTATATTTGTTCTCACCTATCATAAAACAATTATATTGATTAGATATCAATTCTAGTATACAGCCTCCTAACCTGCATTCTGCAAATCAGTCACAGGCATTAGCATGCACTATGGACTATTGTGAAAAAAGAAGAAACAGAGAAGTTTATATGTTAAATCAACATATTAAACACCATTTGGCTGTAGAAAACTTGAATTCAGATTCTTCATAATGAATATTCTCACTGATGGGTTCCCTCATCCCCCCTCTCTGTTTATCACTATATTTATGCTTTGCTCTTCAGGGAAATATTTATAATGTTTTATCTCAAAGAACATGTGAAAGAATGAGAACCTGCACCTTGCATTGTATAATTAGAGTGGACATAATACTTTTTTAGACATAAAAAAGAGACACAAATAAAACCTGGTGAATGCTACACAGAGATGTAAAGAAAACTGTGCTCAAATATTGGACATTTCAGATAAGATGAAATTTAGTGTGTATATCCTACTTTTATAAAATGCCTTTACATAATAACTTAGATCTCATCCAAACTACCAACATGACACAAACAGAAAAGATGGTTTTTAGTGAAAACCTCATCATAAATATTGATTCATCATTATTCTTTCTTGAGATTACATGTATATGTATAAAATATGATATACTTTATATATATTATATATTCTTAGAATGGCACCCAGTCTGTTACACAACTACTTTTTCGGAAGCTCAGTAAAGAACGTCTTTACTAATAAATATTTTTAAAACTTTAAACTTGAATTGGGTATATTCTAAAAAAGGATATGACAAGTAAATTTTGAAATAGCCTAATAGCACGCATGGCCTACCGCAACGGTCTTTCAATGAGTTTTTGGCCCTGTGGGATCGTAATCAGAAATACATTTAACATTGCAACCCACTACGCACACACAACTGAAACAAAAGGTTTCATGGAACAGTATTCACTCTTAGTATGTGTAATGCATTGACTCATATTTTCTATTGTATTCTATTTCATTTTTTATAATTGCTTGTCAAGACCCATTAAATTGATTTCACAATCCACTAATGAGTTGCAAATCAAGATTTAAAAACACCAGCCTAGACAATAATATATATTGTGACTCTTAAGTGGTACTGCTAACATAAAATATTATTGACACTAAATGCAAAATATTGCACAAGGCACATTGAATCAATTGAATCCAAGACAGTTATTGTCTCTCAGCTTTATGAGAACACAATTATAAATTAAGAACAAATGTCTTTCTCCTTTTTTGGCATTTAGAGCATTTTAGAAGCCTTACACTTAAATATCTAGGGAAATCTATTTCTACGAAAATAAATCAACCTTGTGATAATAGTCCAAGAATCCAAAGATCCCATGGATGTGCTAATCTTTCACAAGCATAGGTCTTTGCATTTCTAGAACTCCAAAATGGCCCTGCTCAATCTCTGCACTAGAGAACCAGTGGTTTTAGACGTCTTTGAACTACAAGGCAGCAACACACACAATTAGGTGTTTAACAAATGTCTCTTCATACTGACAATAATCATAACAGAAAGAGAGGCAACCAGGTTCCTCCAGGGCAAAGCCTGAGGCCTGGAGCAGCCCCAATCCCTGCCTTACTCTTGGCCTAGATAGAGCACAGAAGCACGGCAAGTAAATGCATTTGGAACATTTTTTTTAAGATTTTTTTTTTTTTTGATGCGGACCATTTTTAAAGTCTTTACTGAATTTGTTACAATATTGCTTCTGTTTTATCTTTTGGTTTTTTGGCCATGAGGCATGTGGGATCTTAGCTCTCCGACCAAGGATCAAACCCTCACCCCCTGCATTGGAAGGCAAAATCTTAACCACTGGACCACCAGGGATGTTCCCATTTGGAACATTTTTAAGAAAACGTTTTACCTAAGTGTGTAGCAATCCAATTGCTATCTCTTTCTTGAAATTTTTTCAGCCTGAAAAATTATCTACTGGTTGTCTGCTATAATATCTACATCTACAAAGAAAAACTATAAATTCGCATTTGGGAGGAAAATTTTGTTTTCTAGCTTTCTAGCCAGTATGAGAACCTTCTCTGGCCTCTGTTTTATTTGAATGGAGGTAACAAGAGAAAAGAGGAGGACAGACTTTATTTTAAACTTTATTACTGCAAGAAAACTTCATAATATAAATGTAGAGTTAACTAAATTGTAGACAAATTCTCATCCACGTTTAGAAAAACCTATTTTGGTCTTTCTGATACGTTTTACTTGTACATTTTCTGGAAATGCACCAAAGAGCTGAAAAGGGTGAAATAGCTGTGGTTTTCTTAAAGTAGTAATTTTTAGCATAGCTAAAAAGTTCAGTGTGATAATTTAACAACTCTTATTTTCTTACAGCATTCTATTCCGTAGACATAACAAAGCAATGAAAGAAATATGACAGTTGTAAGATATCCCTTGGAAAAGGAAATATACCAGTGGAAATGTACTAATCTAGTTGATTAGAAATCTACCCAACAGCATCTCATGTCTGTGCTGACCTCCTTCTTCGTTCCCTGCAGAATGGATGACATATTGATCGGGGCACCTCTCTTTATGGAACGTGAATTTGAGAGCAACCCCAGAGAAGTAGGGCAAGTTTACCTGTACTTGCAAGTGAACGTGCTGGTCTTCAGAAATCCGCAGATCCTCGCAGGCACTGACGTTTTCGGGAGATTCGGTAGTGCTTTGGCACATTTAGGAGACCTGAACCAAGATGGATACAATGGTAATTTACACCAATGCATGGAAATTACTTATGTGCCACAGTCTCATGTTACTGTTGCATGACGGAAACAAGAGACTTCACAGTGGTGTGTGTGGTACAGTTCTTCTGATTGGTCTTTAATAAACTATCCAAAATCAAGGCAATTTAAACTTTAGCTTTGGCTAATATAGATGCTACATGGAAATTTTCTCATGTTGATTTAGGGTGTCATATGACAGCTCTAAACAAACAGCAATTATTTTTAAAATTGACGTATAGATTTATGACCTGAAGAGAGCTAGAGAATGTACTATATGTACAGAGTCAAAACAAATAAATACATGTTGATATATTAGCAAGTGTATTGCCTTCTGAGTAACTCATATGGCTTACATACAGGTTATGCTGAATTGTAATTGATCTCTCAACTTCAGCTTAAAGGCACCTTCAATGTTCGTTGTTAAGCAGTGTTAAATTCTTAGTTTAGGTTTGTGGTTCTTTAAGTTAGGAATTTATGAATGCCTTCTAAGTACCCTCTCCTCAGAAAAACATGCCAGCTCACACAAAATTTTGCATACATTTTCAGGACCTTTTAGTTAAGAACCAAGGTAGACTGGGTTTCTTGAAGTTCCAGGGAGTAACAGGAATTTGCTCCAACAAAATAGCCTAGAGAGTATTCCCATCAAATCAAAGTATTCATTAATACCTTCAGCAACTGGTCACGTACTTTTACGATTTCCTTGAAAAAACACGTCTCAGCAGTGTATAGTTAGTAACTTTTAAAGTACCATAAGACATAAATGCATACTAAAGGCTCATGGTTCCAGGGAAACATTTTTAAAAAGAGACAAGTTCATCTTTAACTGATTTGTTGCTTTCAAAAACTGCCCTATCCCTGAGCACCAAATGAAATAAATAATGCTAAATTATCTGTGTAGTCATCTTTTTCATCATCTCTTCTATTTGTCTTTTCTCTCAAGCCCTTAATGATACTTTTAAGAGCTAAGAGAAACATTTCTAACAACCTAAGAGGGGTTTTGCCTCTCTGAGCCTCGGTGTCCTTAAAATGATGCCAAAATGAGATGTAACCAGGGGACAGATATAAATTCACTGACTCGGAAGATGTGAAGAAAGTACCCCTTTCCACCTACCATATGACAATATCTTTATTTTCCACAAGGATCTGAGTTTTTTGATAGTTTATCCTTACCTGTTAAGTGAAAGTGGATTTATGATCCTTGTTATGTAGTGAAAATCAGTTTACAATTCATTCAGTCTTATCAGACTTAGGAACAACTACAAATGGATGAATGACAAAATGAGGACACATACCATCGTCCGCAGCTCGGGCTGTTGTGTTACTGTGCTATTGGCGCTCTTTTCCATGTAAACCTCTTAGGTTAGGTGTACTGTTTAGAGCAACCCTGATGAACACAACATATGGAAGGTAGCTTTCATTCACTGCTATGTTTAACAGGGAGACAGGCGATAGGGTTCTCTCTCGGTTTCCCAGAGTCCTCAACGACTATGAAACGGGTCTTGCCTACATCATGGGATGATATAATCATTCAAGGATATAATATTTGTGAAAGAGGTTGTTTATTTCTTTTTTTTTTTTTTTTTTGCGGTACGCGGGCCTCTCACTGTTGTGGCCTCTCCCATTGCGGAGCACAGGCTCCAGACGCGCAGGCTCAGCGGCCATGGCTCACGGGCCCAGCCGCTCCGCGGCATGTGGGATCTTCCCAGACCGGGGCACGAACCCGTGTCCCCTGCATCGGCAGGCGGACTCTCAACCACTGCGCCACCAGGGAAGCCCTGTTTATTTCTTTTAACAAGAAACTCTTAAGTACTCTGCAAAGGTGCCTCATCTGGTCCAGCCAGCCCATTAATCTGACCCAGCTCTTCCCTATTACTCACTACGCTCCCACGCAGATCACCTTCTGGCTGCTCTTCAGGTGGGCCAAGCTCCTTGCATCCTTGGGCCTTTGCACAGTCATTCTTTCTGCCTGGAATGCTCTTCTTTCTGATTCCACATGGTCAGTTCCATCCTGTCCCCAGATTTCAGTTTCAAGATCAGCCTTAGAGACACCTTTTCTGACCACTTCATCTAAAATAACAATCCGATCACTCTCCATCGCACCAATATTTTTAAGATTCTCTGCATAGCATTTGTCACTTTCTATCTTTTCTTGATTATTTCTTTATTCAACTTGTCTCTTCCCTGCACCAGAATATAAACTTTTGAAAAGCAGTGTCTGGTTCGCCGTTGAAGCCACTGTGCCCAACACGTTATAGGCACTCAATAAATATTTCTTGGATGGATGAAAGACAACAAATAATTTCCTCTTGTTGCAGTACTACAGAGTTTCATGGAAAACTTAAGAAGCCCTTTGGGCTGTTTGGTACTGCTCTTCAATTGTACTTATTTCTCTTTCTAAAATACTCTTCTTTATTGAAAAATTGTGTGTCTCTGTTTGTAGACATTGCCATCGGTGCGCCCTTTGCAGGCAAGGACCAAAGAGGCAAAGTGCTCATTTACAACGGTAACAAGAATGGCTTAAACGCCAAGGCTTCCCAAATTCTGCAAGGAGTGTGGGCCTCACAGGCTGTCCCTTCTGGATTCGGCTTTACTTTAAGAGGAGATTCTGACATAGACAAGAATGATTACCCAGGTAAGTCCTTCTTTCTTTTCCTACAACAGAGTCTGCTTCCTAGAAAGAGCTATTCTCTGGACGATGCATCGTGTTTAAGCAGTTCTCTTGTACAGGTTAAGGCCAAGCTTGCCCATCACACGGGTTCTTTGGATACCATTCCAAAGCAACTTTCATGAGACTCTGAAGACAGACAAAACAAACACTCCTTTTCCTGTCAAGAGAGGAAGTTAAAAAAGCAAGATGGCTTTTTAAAAACTGCATTGGACATAAAACTTAGCAACTTTGCAACAAAAGTTTGTTATTTGAAACTCCTCAGTAATCTGGTCTCCATTGACAAGGACAGCCTACATCAGATAACTTTTCAGAGCAATCAATTTTAACCCCATAATTCCCTGTTGAGTTCACAGCTCCTATGAATTGACTTATGCACCTCAGCATTTCTGTCATAAGCTCATGGTTTTGGAACATAAATAGTTTCCAGCCACGTCTGGGGGTTTTCCGAAGATAGAATGACTATTAAAGCAAAGCATAAAGAACTGGTTTGTGATACAGATCATTACCAATTTTTGAATGCTTAATTCACAGTGAGGATTCAGTGGAGATCCATACAGCCCAGTGAGATAATTCATGTTTTATGTACGCTGTATGAAAATACAGATTTGTCTTAAAGGACTGTTTCAATAATCGGGGTTGTTAACAGACAACATTAGACTTCTTGGTTTTGTGGTTCAATTTTCCCTTTTATGTTGGTTATTTTAAGATGGTTTCAAGAAATAGTTAGAAATCATTAACAGTTCACTGACAGCTTCAACCCTTTATTGAGACCTTGTCTCTTTCCATCAGCCCTCCCCTAATTGAGTATTTTCCATATGTAGAGCATTTGCTGGTTTGGGTCATCACTCCAATAAGCTGACTGCCTAAATATACATCACTAATTTCAATCCTTTGACTTTCTCTTCCCCTCCAGGATTAGACAAAAAGGATACTGCAACATATTCTTATAAATTTGCCAGGAATTTTCAATGGCACTAACATAGACGTTGTAGTGGGCTCAAAGCGGATTTAGAATTATATTGTATATGAATGGGTCCTCCTTGTGGCAATTGCAAGAGCATCTAGTGAAATTCATTTTCTTGGGTTATATTATACTAGCCTAATCAATGATTGGTTAGGTTTTCTTTTGGGGAGGGGAGTCTCATACATAATATATTCACTTTTAAATAATCCAAAAATTAGATCCCCTATGTGATTTCTTCCCAAACTATGTCAGGATGATTAATGAAATTCAATTCCTGGGTCACAATTTTAAAGAAACAGTTATTTTATTTTACTTTTTAAATTTATTTTTTTAATTTTTGGCTGTGTTGGGTCTTCATCGCTGCACGGGCTTTCTCTAGTTGAGGCTAGCAGGGGCTACTCTTTGTTGTGGTGCACGGGCTTCTCGTTGCGGTGGCTTCTCTTGTTGCAGAGCACAGGTTCTAGGCACGTGGGCTTCAGTAGTTGTGGCACGTGGCCTCAGTAGTTATGGCTCATAGGCTGTAGAGCACAGGCTTAGTAGTTGTGGCGCACGGGCTTAGTTGCTCCGCGGCATGTGGGATCTTCCCAGACCAGGGATCGAACCCGTGTCCCCTGCATTGGCAGATGGATTCCCAACCACTGTGCCACCAGGGAAGTCCTGAGAAACAGTTATTTTAGAAAGTTATTGCTATTCCTTATGCCCTTCATAGTCTTCCCTTAGTACCAGGGAACTGACAGAGAATGGCCATGCCTTCCACAAGGTGAGGGAAATATAGGATGTATCAATCACATAGTCAAGTCTAGTGATTTCCTTTGAAGTCTTCTAAATAAGGGCCAGGAAGGAGAGAAACATGAAACAACTTTTCTCTCAAAGAATATTCCCTCCAGGGAGGGGGGTAAACGAGTGAGACAGAGAACAGAGGAAGTAAGTACAGTGTCAGTAATTGGTCATCTCTTAACTACATCTTTTTCAGCCCTTCTTAACAATCAGAAAAGAGTCATTTGAGGCCATTCACTAGTCAATAACTTTATCCACTGAGGCTGATTCACTTTACAGTAATGAATGACGTTAATGCAGTGTATCCACCTGTGTGAAGAGTAAATGCTCTTTACTAAGACAGGACCGTTATGACACTTAGTTGATTTCTTAACCTCAAGATAGCCTTGAGGCTTTCAGAGTTCATCAGTGCATCTTAGACAGTAGACCTGAGTTCTGGTCCCAGTTCTGCCTCTCAGATATAGGTGTCTTGTGCTTCATGATCGTGCAACATTTCCCCTCATCCTCATTTTCTTGCAAAAAGAGCGCCATTCAAAGAAGCCTTTTAATCTTGATACCAAGTCCCAGGGACTTAATGCGAGGAAAACTGCCTTATGGGCAGGTGACTAGATCCTACTAGCTAGTGTAGCAGATGTGAAATTTGCAGGCATAATTCAGGAATTAGACGTGGAACTTTCCTCATTTTTCTATAAGCGAATCCCATTTAGCTCTCAAGCCTCCATTTCTCCTATGGTGGAAAACCTCAATCTTGCAGTCACTTCTAGATTCAGATTTAATGTCACTTGGGTAAGTATTCATTTGGATTCAAGACTCCCTCTTTCCTCCCTCTGCAGCAACTCTCCCAAGGAATGGAGTAGCAAAGGGGATGCCTTTTGTCTAGGGACGGAGAAAGGGGTGCTGGACCAAGCACGTCATCTGTACTTGTTGGCCTCTGGCTGAAGGATAGCTCAGTCTCTCATGGTCTCTGACATGTTGCTCAAGCTTCGGTGATTAATCCAATGGTCTGCGTAATGGCCACTGCTCAAAAGTTCCACACGTCCTGGGTCCTCCCTGTTCCATTTTGGCCTCTTCTGGTTGACTCTCAGCAAATGCTTCTGTGCCACGATTGGGACTCGCAGGTTGGGGTCTTCAGGTCTCTGAGATTGCCTTTATGCTTATCCTAGATTATTCCTTTAGCCATTGCTAATTTTCCACCTAGGCATCTGTTACTCCAGCACCTAAGAGGGTTGCAGTCTTCTTGGGTTTTTCTTAAGAAGTAGCAAAAGCCCTCTTTTCCCCCAAAGGTTATTGGGTGGCATGCTTTCTAGACTCCATAGTTCACTTTGTAAACTCTGAGTTCTCCTCCTCTGTGGTCTCTCTTTATGATTTTCCAAACCAGCTCTTTCTGGAACTTAAAAAGAAATACAATTTTCTTTCCCTCTGGGGTCCTGCTCCTTCAAATCAAAAGAAATCTGTCTTCAGACTATGGTCCCGTCCATGAGTTTCGAAATCCATTCAACAAATTGAATGCCTTCTTCTAGGATGTATCTAGTCATCCCTGTTAAGCAATGGTTCTCAATCTTGGCTACACATCAGAATCATTTAGGGGAACTTTTAAAAGTGCTTATGCGCAGGTCACCCTCCAGACCAGTTAATTCAAACTCTCTGGGGGGTAAAACTCAGACCACAGTAATGTGTTTAAGTGACCTGGGTCGTTCCAGTGTACAACCAAGCAGGGAACTAATGATCTCGAGCAAGGTTTCCCCCACTTTAATGAACATCTCGATCACCTGGTCATCTTGTTCAAATGCAGATCATGGCTCTGTAGGTCAGGTGGGTGGGAAAGACCCCTCATTTCCAGAAGTTCCCTGGTGACACCATCCCTGCTGGTCTTCACACCACATCCTGAGTAGAAAGCTCCGAGACAGTGTGCATACCAGTTGCCCATTGTGCCTATTAATAAAGGCTGAATGCATGGCACCCCCTCAGATATTCTGATTTCCCAGGTTTGGAATGGGGTTCAGGGATTTGTATGTTTACCCAGGACCCTACTTTGAGAAACACTGCCCTAGAGTCCTTTTGCCTGGCTCCCGTGCTCACAGCAGACAGATGCGCGAAGTTCTGTTTTGGCAAGAACCTATTAGCTGAGCTCTGGCATTTCATTTATTCTTCGCCCGGCCGTCAAACCAACCTGAAGCTCTTTTCTCCAGACTGCCTCTGTGTAGTGATGCTAGGGTATACCACCTGCTCTTGCCTCATCTGGCGATGTTAAGAAAGTCCCATTGAAACTATTCAGTTTTTCTTGCACTGCCCTACATTTCCTGGAAGTTATCTTTGCACCGAAAACAATGCCTCACTTACTTTTCATTTAAAATATATTATCACATTTGTTAGGAATTGACCCACTTAACCTGGCTTAAGCCATAAAAGGAGCTACTTACATGAAGGCTACAGAAGTAACTCAAGGGAACCTGAGGACAGGGATTCTGCCAGACCTTGGAAGGGACTGACTGGGATCTAAGACTGTCAGGACTTCCTTTTTCTGGTCTCTCTCTCTACGCATCTGCTTTTCTCTCGCAGCAGACTGTATTCCTCTGAGCACACGGTGCTGTTTCAGCGCCAGCACTTGCACGTTTCAGTTGTACTCGCTCACAAAGAGACTGTGTATAATTTATCTCAGTCCTAAGTCCCGGGGAAGGAAAGCTCATAGGCTCCGACGCAAAGGGTGAGTGACGTTTGCCAAAGAAAGTCGGAGTTGACTTGTGGGCTGTGCAGGTATCCCAAGAGATACCCATTATGACTCGCCTATCAAACAAAACAAAGTGGTCCTAGGAAATAAGCATTGTGGCAAGAAGTGAAGAAAGTACTTTAAAAGAAAAAGTTGTATTTTTAAATGAAGGAATAAAAATGGTTTTTAAACTGCTCATCAGAAATTTTATATTTGTCCCTTTAGTTTCAAGGTCTAAAAGAAAAATAAGAAATTCCTTCCTTCATTTAAAAAATATGTAGTAGTATTTACTATGTGCCAGACACTGTGCTGTGACAAGGCAGACACAGTCACTGCCTTCCCAGAGTTAATATTCTAGGTGCGAAAGACAGACAGAGAATTATAACAAAGTATGAGCATTGTAATGTTTGTCTTTAAACGCAAGACTTCTTTTGGAATATAATAATGTAACGCTTGAAAAAATTCAAGCATGTTGCTGAACACTATGTTTGTAAATTTTAAAAGTATATCATGAAGAAAATATTGTTGGACTTCAGAAATTTTGTAATTATTTGGCCCTAATTAAATGAATTAGCTGAGGAAAATACACAGTCTCTGTAAGCTCCATGTACAGGCACCTGCACAGCCCCTGACATACTTCCAGAACCGGAGCTAATTTCGTGACCCGGGCTGCAGCCAATGATGTACAGGTTGTGTCCCACCAGGGGCAGGTAGGGGGCAGGTTCGCTTACCAGGTGGTTCCCTTCCCTTGGGATGAGCAGATGCACCTTTAAATTCACACACAGGCATGGTGTGGGCTCTCAGTGGCCCTGTTCCAGGTCCTCCATTCTAAATAGAACAGAAACAAAATTTCAAACCTTGTCACTTTATCTACCTGGTCACCTGCAGAATTCAGGAGAAAACAAACACAAAAGCCAATAACAGATTTGAAATTCTGAACTGAAATGCGTCAAACCACTCGGAGTTGTTATGGAGTGGAACACACTTGAAAAAGTGTGTGTATCCAAAGTGATGGCTTTTGATGGGGTTGTTTTTCCCATTCCTGAGGTGAACAATTTTCCCTCATTTTAGGTGCTTCCTCTGGTCCACACTGCCTGCCACTGACCCATTTCTGGGCAAGGCTGCTGTGAAACCTACCTATGATAATGGCGGGGCACACACATTGCCCCATTCGTTAGAGAGCAGCATGTACTCTTTACATGTTCTTGACACAAGCCCGCTGCCTTTCATGGGGAGAAAGACTAAGGTTGACCGTGATGTTTGATATATGTATTAATTGTGAATTACAGCTGTTTCATCCCCCCAGACTGACTAGAAATCAGATCACTTGGTACCTTGAAAATAATCAAAAGCACAGACATGCAAAGGTGGTTTGATGGACGTTTACCCTTTGTCACATGATCTGTTCTGCAAGTTACAGATGCTCTGTATTTGGGCAGGACCAGACACTTAGTCTTCTTGTCTTAGCAAAAGAAAAGAATGCTGGCAAAATCAGGCATGAGGCCAATTATATTGCTGACATTATTGCAATTACAGCATACTCCTGAGCATTAAGAGTCCAAAGCATGCCAGCCACTGCATAGAAGATAAATGTAGTTCATATTCCTTGGAATATTATTTCTGAATCTCTCTCCTATGTCCATAGGTACACTCACACTTATATGTGTGTGTGTGTGTGTATGTGTGTGGACACACACAGCAGGAGAATATATAGGGTAAATCTGGATGACACTCTACTTCTTTTTGGGAAACATCAAACCAATATCAATATAACCATATTAAAGTTGGCAGAGTGGCTGTGAAGGGGAAAGGAAATCAGACTGCCCGGGTTCAGATTCCCATCTGTCACTGATAAGCTGTATGGCAGTGGACAAGTTAATTGATTTCTCTGAGCTTCCAATTCCTTATCTGCTATTATGGGGCAAATAATAATCACTGGACTGTGTGTACTAGCACTTTCTAGGTTGGGAGAGGATTTTTACAAAATGTTGTAAAATGGCTTAGAATAGGAAAGAAAACCTGTTTGACTAACATAAACAGAATCAAAGCTACTTTACTTCCCAGACATGCTGGGCCACGTAAGATGTTGAAAAGCTGCATTCTAGGATTCTGGAGATGGATGGCGCAGGTTTGAAACTTGACTCCACTGCTTTCTAGCTGTGTAAGAGTAAGACAATTCCTTAACCTTTCTGAACTGCAATTTCCTTATCGGTAAATTCAAATAATAATATGTTGGTATAAAGATGAAACGAGATTGTTTATATAATATGAAATGAGGTGAGGTGTTTAATATGAGATTGTATAGAGCACAGTTTAATAAATGGTAGCTCTTCAATCAAGTCTTAAAACAAGACTATATTTTGGAGGTATTCTTTTTCTTAGTTGATATTATTACACTAGTTGATACTATTTTCTTTTGCTTATTCAATGTCCATGGTCCCCAATCTTAATTTACACTACTACCTTTGCTTCCCCTGCCCCTGACAAATAGGAATATGAGAATAAGAACATAACTACTGGGACTCTGCCAGGTTGAGAACCACTCATCAGATTCCTGTTTCTGGACCCTCACTAGAAGCTTCTGCCCATATGATGAGGTTGCTGCCCTGCTATGATGTAATTCCACCACTCAGCCCATCCTACTTCTGCCCCTAAGTGGGAGATGAGGCATAAGGGACTTCTCCCATATCTCACTACTGTGATCTACTGGGTACCAAAGATGGAGAATACTCTCTTCCCTCAGCCCCGTAGGCATTTAAGGATATTTCATTTCATATCAACTGGGGCCAAACTAGGGTGATGACGATGGCAGCTAAGAGGAAGGAACTGAGGAAATCATGTAACTAGGAAATAGGCAATGCTTGGTAATGACTGGCTCTAATGGAACGTGGAGGAGGTAGGAGTGGGGAGCAGTGATGGTGAAGATGACTCTGGAAGTTTGGTCCCAGGTACCCGAGAAAAGTAGAGTTTAATGGACCAACATGGGGAGTTTCAGCTCTAGAGACACAGAGGTTCTACCATAGAAATATTTGGAGTAATTTTCCTAACATCTAGCTTAACCACTCAGTAATTTTTTAGACTTTTTCCAATAAGTATTGTCGTCACACACATACATAAATAGCAGTCATAAGTACTTTCATTTCTGGCACCCGAATCCTCTTTTTCTAAAAGAAAAAAATACAGATGTGTTCAGGTTTCTGTGTTGGTGCTTTCTGGAAAACTAGGGTTGACCAGAGGAGTACCTCGCATACATTATTTGAGGGATAGCATTTCAGAGAAGAAACAGCTGTGATAAGGAAGAATCTCTAAAATGCAATGATCCAGTCTAATCCCATTAAAGTTGATTGTATAACAAGGCCATCTGTTAAATGCATAGCCCAGACATTGCAGGGTGGAAGGGGGTAAGTGCAGGTTTTGTTGAGGAATAGAAATCTTAACAGGCAATAAAAACTGGAGGAAAACATGGGCTGAATGCCAAGACTACCATTGTCTTGCTATGGCCCCTAATAGGCAATGATTATATCACGAAGCCATCTCAGACGATTATACCAAATGACATAAAGTGACCTATCATGTTTTAATGAATGCACTGTGTGTGTGTGTATAAGCAAACAACCAAGCAAGAGAGAACCTACAAGCAAGAGAGAACCTACACGCGAGAAGAAATCAAAGGGTGGCTTTAACCAAAGGGAATAATGCATTTTAATCAAACCCTGAGCTCCTTGAAACTGATTTGAAGTTTATTGAACTAAGTTCAAATCTTAGAGTCAAAGTTTATTTTTACTTCTCAGAGTGCTACTCAAGGTTTTATGAAAAGCAAAACATTGTTCTTCTTGAGCGAGATTTTCATAATTTCATTATAAACACATTAGACATTAGAATATTACATTTCTTGTAAAAATACCTTATGAAATTAGACTAAATTGAATTAATTAAATCAACTGAAAGAGTTCTTGGACTTGAATCCAGCAATGTTGTAAAGTAGAAGTAAAAATGAATGGATAGATCAAAGACTTGAGTTCTAGAACCAAAACTTTAGTAACTCAGCCTCCCTGGGCCTTGCTTTCCTCACCTGAAAGTGATGTGGATGTACGGAATGCTTCTCCAAGGGGCTTTTAAAACTCTAAACTCTGATTCTATAATCCAAGATCTAGACTTACTGCCTCCCAGATTTCTCTGTAATATTGGGTAGATTATTAAGGCTCCATCTTTGAAAAACAAAAAAAACAGGATTTAATAAAACCATACAAGATTTCTCCTTAACTTTTTCTTGAAAATAATTTTTAACTGACAGAGAAGTTGAAAAGTTAGTACAGAGTCCTGTAAACCCTTCACCCAGTCTCTCTTAATATTAACATCTTGTACAGCCATAGTGAATTGGCTATTGGCTAATCTATAGACTTATTAGAAATTCGAATAGAATTTCCCCATTTGTTCCACTAGTGCTCTTTTCCTAGTCCAGAATCCCACCCAGGATCCCACACTGCATTTGGCTGTCATATCTCCTCAGTCTCCTCCAATCTGCGACCACTTGATCCTTCTGTGTTGTCACCACTTTGGCACTTTTGAAGAATATGGTGAGACAGTTTGAAGAATGTCTCTGAATTTAGGTTTGCCTGATGTTTGTTCACGATTAGATTGAGGTTATGTATTTTTGGCAAAAGTACCACACAAATGCTATGCCCTTCCCAGTGTATCACAGCAGAAGATCATGTCTGTTGTCCTTTTACACTCTGATCACTTGCTTGTGGTGATGTCTATGAGCCGGGTTTGCCACTGTAAAGTTACTACTTTCCCCTTTGCATAATAATTATCTTTGGAGAGATACCACGACACTATGTAAATATCCTATTTCTCATCATACTTTTGCCCACTAATCTTAGCACCCATTGGTGATTCTCGCCTACAACCATTATTACTGTGTCATTGTGATTTTCTATTTCCATCATTCCTTCTACACTTATTAATTTCAGTTCTAAAATAAGAAAAAGATGTCTCTTCTACTTGTTTATTTATTTATTCTATTTTTTATATCTTTGTGGACTTGTGTATGTTTTATGGGCTATACTCCATTATTGTATTTATTTATCTTGGTTGCTTAAATTGTCCTAGATTTGGCCACTGGGAATTCCTGCCATTTGGTTCCTGTGTTTTTTCACCATTCCCTATCCTTTTATGAGCATATTCCTTACTTTCTGACACCGCAAGATACTGCAAGCTCATTTTGGATTTGCCCTGCCCCAGCCCTGGAATCAACCATTCTTCAAAGGGCTCTAGTTCCTCTTATTGAAGGATTGTATTTAGAAACCAAGATCTGGATACTAGGTGCCCTCATGGCTGCTAGGTTGTCAAGATAAGACTTGTAAAGCACTGAATTCTATAGATTGCCATATTCCCACGCACTATATTACATTTCAAACCATGTTTATTACTTGAAATCAACAAATTAATTTTTATTTTTCAACCTATATTTTGTAACTTAGCATTTTCGCGTTTTACTTGTCAACAACAGTATTTGGGCAACATTAATATTATTCAGCTAATGTTGAGAACAACTACCAATTTTCTCCATTTTTTAAAGATGATAATAGCAGAATATTTACTGGTTATATGATATTCAAGAAGACTGTGCTTTGGAAATACAATTTATTACCTTACTCAACAGATACTTATCGGGTGCCTTTCATGTGCCTGGCGCTCTTCTAGGTTTTGACTGAATTAAACAAAGATCCTGCTCTCATGTGCCCGAGTTTAAATTCTAGCTGTGATACTGGCTGACTGTGTAACCCTGACAAGTAACTGAACTTCCTCAAGCTCTAGTCGTCATT